ATAATATTATCAATAGTAGATTTATTGATCCAGAAGAGAGAAAAGCAGAACCGCCGCTAACTGGAGCAGTTCTTGCCAGTCTCCTGCTGACCAAAATGACACGTAGTCGAGCTTAAAAATGTCTGTTCATTCCATCAGTGATAAAAACCGTAACTGCGCTGAAAAGGGGAAAAAATAAAGACTTGGACAGAGCAGAGCATTTTTCATTAATACGAGTCAATTTGCAGGGAGCGACGCGGCTGTAAAATGTTTTCCATGTGCGCCCACTGCGGGGCGCCACGGAGTCTGCCGGAAGCTCCTCTTTCTGATTGGCTGATGGGAGTCACAGCAGGAAGAGCTGTCGACCAATAGGAGAGCAGGATACTGGCTTCTTGATTTGATTGGTTTAAAGTAGATGTCAATCAAGAAGAGAGTGGGCTAGAAGGCAAAGAGCGGCCAGTCGGTTGTTTTGCTCTCTGGAGAACGGAGCTCCGCTGCAGAGCCACACACACGCGCGCACACACACGTTCACCACACTGCTAACTTCATGCATTTATATTAGATGACGTAAAATACTTAAGTTAAATATTTTATATGTGATTAATAAAATTCAATTTGTAAATTATCGTGCATTTTTTAGAGTTTATTAGACTATAAAAGTTGCATCGTCAATCAAATAGGTTCAATTTACAAAAATAAATAAAAAATATATATTTTTCAATTATAAAAAAATGCTACACTCATGTTTTTATTACCATTAATTCCGAGGGGAGGATTTTCATAAATGTTTTAGTTTTTCCACATGGAATAATTTCAAATTTATATTTTTGACTGTAAATGTTTTTATTATAATTTTTCAAAAAACTTTATTATGAAAATCCATGGATTAATCATAGTTCAAATTATTTATATTCATAACCGTAATAAAGTTGAACTCAAATATACTATAAAAAACAAACAAAAAACATTAAGCTACAGTTTATTCCAAGTTTGCAATCCTGAAGAACCAGAGTGCGCATGCGTTCAGTTCCACTACGTGTCACGTCCATCTCCACCAATCAGCTTTGACCTAAGATTGCCACACTGGTGTGATTTAAGAGCTGCAGCTCAATAAATCTGTCCGAAGTTAACAAAGTTGATGTAAATGTGTTTCACGTTGTTATGAAAATACTTATGGATTAATCAAACGGACATGCGCACTTCAATCAACTGGACTCGATCTGTTTAAGATCCTTTAAAGAGACTCGATTCGGAGCGTTTATTTCGGATTTTGTAACGTTTTCACGAGTCGATCGTCGCTGTCAGGATTATTTTGATTTTATTTTTTAAATCCTATTATGACTCTATGCCGCGTAAAATGATATCGGACGTTGTTACAAATAAGATTTTCACAAATTAATGACTTTAACTTCTAGTTTTGGTAAAAGAAAACAGATAAACCGGATTTTTTTTTAAATGCAACCTTTATTTATAAAGGTTTTGGAATCACATTTGCTTGTTTGATTTGGGTCTGTGAACTGGCAGCATATGTTTTGAAATGTTCCACTAAAAATGCTTTTAATTGTATTAAAAAGTACTTTTTATGCTGTAATCGTGTGTCTACAACTGATGATTTCAAATTATGTTTGCTTTAAGTCATTGCAGCCTACGGTATGGCTTTTATTTGTTTCCAAGTTACACATCAAATTATCTGATTTTTTTTTTTGTTGTTGTTGTTGTTTTGACTCGTGCATTGCTGCAAAAGTCACATTACCGGTAGTATAAAACTTAAACTAGTTTTAAAGTCTTCAGATCAATGCAACAACAATTATCAACTTATCCTGTCAGGTAATTTATGACTTGAAATACAGAACGTCACTTGGTTTCTGAAGATTGGTGCGTCTTTGTTGCAAAACTACAAGGAATATGTCCATTTTGTGCGTCTTTCTGTGATGAAACAGAAAATTAGTTTCGCAGTTACCATTATTTGACAGCAGGGGTCGCAGTGGATCGCTGACACAAAAGTCAGGAAAAAAGGAGCTTTAAAAATGACATTTTCATGGAGATAAATGCACAGAAATGACAAGAGTCTTATTAAAGCCGGGAGAAGTTATTTGATACAACTCTTAAATATAAATACCAAAATAAAAAAGGTGCTGCGTTTTGGAGCCTTGACTTTGTCTCTTTGTTGTGCGCTTGAATCAAGCCGAGTTTGAGTTATTGGTAATTCAAGATTTACTTTACATGTGACATTTAAACATAACACATCACCTTAAAAACATCTAGCACTGATCAATAAAATAAGGGCTATCATTATTGTTGTTGTTGATATTAATGTTATTATTATTCATATAGTATAATAATATATCAGGATCATGCTCAATAATTCAGGCATAATCAGGTATCCAAAGGACCTGACTTAACTTTGTTGGATAGTATAATAATAGAAGTAGTAATAGAATTAGTAGAAGCAGTAACTGTAGTAGTAGTAGATGTTATTGTAGTAATAGTATTTGTAGAAATAGTATTAGAAGTAGTAACTACTAGTAGTTGCATGAGTAGTTGTAGTAATAGTATTAGTAGAAGCAGTAGTTTTAGTAGTTGTAGTAGTAGTTGTTGTTGTAATAGTATTAGCAGAAGTAGTAATAGTATTAGTAGAAGCAGTAATTGTAGTAGTAGTTTGTAGTAACAGTAGTAGTAGTAGTAGTAATTGTATTAGTATATGTAGTAATTGTAATGGTAATAATAGTATTAGTAGAAGCAGTAATTGTAGTAGTTTGTAGTAATAGTAATAGTAGTAGTAGTAGTAATAGTATTAGTAGAAATAATAACTGTAGTAGTAGCAATTGTAGTAGTAGCTTTAATTATAGTGTAGTAGTTGTAATAGTATAGTTGTAGTAGAAGTAGCAATTTTAGTAGTAGTAGTTGTAGTAGTAGTAGTAGTGGAAGTAGTAATTGTAGTAGCAGCTGTAATTATAGTGTAGTAGTTGTTGTAATAGTAGTTGTAGTAATAGTATTGGTAGAAGAAGTAATTTTAGTAGTAGTAGTAGTTGTTGTAGTAGTGGTGGTTGTAGTTGTAGTTTGATTGTAGTAGAAGCAAAAGGGCCTTCTCGTACTCCACTCCTGTTTCCTGGAATATCTTGCAAAAAGACGTGAAGCTCTTGACCTTGACCTCTAAGTGGCTTTAAACATCTGCTACGTTCCTGGCAAAAACCAATACACACGTGTTCCTGTTTTAATTTTCTACACCGCCTTATAATCTAGCTGTTGTTGTTTCGTTTTTTTAATACCATTTTTCTTTTATTTGTTCTTCTCAGTTTGTATGCTTTCTTTCATGAGTGTCTATTGTTGTCCACTGTTGTCATCACTCTTTGTTAAATTCAGGTCTCTCTTGTAAATGAGTCCCTGAGGCTCAATGAGATTAACCTCTATAAATAAAGATTGAATGAATAATTTGTTGTAATATTATTTATGGTAATAGTATTAGTATAAGCTGCACATGCTGTATTAGTAGTAGTAGTAGTAGTAAATAGCAGGGGCAGATGTAGTTGAGGCGATTGAATTGTTTTATTTAACCTACCACATCTGTGAATTTCTGACGTGTCTTAAAATATTTAAAAGGCACAAACACAGTTTAAATACAGTATTGGTTGTTAATAAGTCAAGGCTGTGTAATCACTCTGCTGACACGAGCAAGACCTTGGATAAAATGGTACAAACTACTGTTAGTCTGCAGCCAGCCCTGAATATAATATCAACACTATTCTTGCTGACTTGAAGGGAATGCAAAACCGTCCATTTTAACCTTTATCATCTGTTTGTCATTGGCAGTTGTGGTGGCTTAAGATTAGAGGGATTAAAACAAACATGTTCTTTATTTATTGATCCGATGGAGGTTAAATCTGCTGAAGGTTCTTACAAATACAGAAAGCACCCAAATTTTGACGGGTTGCACAGTCAGGTCAACAAAACCAATGCGATTGTTGACTGAGTAAAGCTGTTTTTATGAATGAAAAGGAAAATAATAGATCATCTTGATTAATGTGACCACAAGCTAAACACCATTTTGAGTCATGTAGTGGCTACGTAACAAAGATCATGTTGCTGCTCCATTTCACATGATTATCATTCAACAGAAATATTGATAAAGTTACGTTTTTCCATGTTTTCTCATAAATAGTGTGATTCAAAGATCACACAAATTACATGCAGTGTTAAAATTCAATTTCATATTATAATAATACTTTGTAAGAATGAATGAAAAAGTTCATTTAAAAAAATGACAATATGAAAAGAAGCAGGATTGTCATATTGTTTCTGTCAAGGATAAACACACTTAAGCTCTCCCTAAATGAGCTGCTTATCCTTTTCATTTTCAATAAAATAGACTAAAAAAAAACATTTTGTCAATTGTTTGAATGTGTTTACCTTCTATCAGTTACCTTGTTGTTGCTGGACAGGTCAGCAACACAAACCAAAGGGACGTTAAGTAAAGACGTGTTTCTTTCTCATTTATTTAGAATAATTGAAAACGTAACTTTAAAGCCAGTTTAATATTTTTGTTATTGTGTGTACTTTTTGATTTCTTCTTTGTTCTGACTAAAAATAATGTTGGGTTGGAGGCTGGGCTGGTTCCAGCAGCAGGAATGGGTAACTTTCCCTTGCTCTGATTGGTCAGAATTTATAGACAGCCACGCTGACCAATCAGATTGGGTTTTAGTAAACTCTTTCGTCCAATAAGCGCAAGCTATACTGAGTCTGAAAAGAGTTGCAACACTTTACCGTCGGAAGGGTTGAGCTATTTACATCTTTCATTTTCAGTTTAATTTTTATGTACTGAAAGATTGTGATAGCTAGGCTACGTCAACGAGTAACGAGTTCACTTTAAGATATTAAAGAGCAAACAGTTTGCTATGTTTATCCGCCGAGGTTTCCGTTAGCCGGTAAATAATGCTGCTAGCTTAGCTAAGCCTAAGAGCTAACGCAGACGGTTTTTTACCGGTCCGGGCAGGCAGACCTCTTTGTCTGACAGGGGAAGGCGTGCTCTTTTGTTAGCTTTTCCTTTTGTCCTGTCGGGGAGAGGAAACTGTTGGGTCAGGATTTTACTGCCAACTTCAAATCTGGAAGTATTTAGAAAATGCAGATCGCGAAAAAGTACTTTTCAGAAAGCTTGATTCAATTGACGATCCTACTTAGTTTAGTTGGAGTTCGAGTAGACATCGACAGTTACTTAACCGGCTACTATTCGCCTCTGGCAGAGATTAACTTGGGTCCTAGCTCAGCCTACATCCAGACACCCTTTCACGTTCTGAGAGACACCCTCGACGGAAACGGTGTGCATCCGAAATGTCCTGAGTTGGACTATTTTTTTGCGAGCCGACGCCTGCTGGATGAAGTGAGGAGCCTTGGTTCCCCGCGGTTCCCCACGCAGCTCAACGCGTGGCTGGTACACCAAGTGTCTGCCACTGACAAGGCTGAGCATGGGCCTTCAACCAGCGAGAACAGTGACTCCAGCCATGAGTTAGAAGACCCTGGATATGAAGCAGGAGATGGCAGGGAGCACCTGCCTGTCCAAGGCCAAGAAGTGGACCACACCAGTCCTGAACTGGGACAGGGGCCTTGTGGTGCTGGAGCTTTTCTGTTTCCTCAAGAGGCAAGTGTAACTTATTATACCAACAACAACAAAAAACATTTAGTTTCTGACTGAGCTACAGCATAATTGAAGAAGTTTGACTAAGATGGCGTTAAATCTTTTGCTATGACATGTTTAATTCGGACTAGCACATGTTGTACAAAGAAGAATGTCCTCCCAGTTTGTGCAGTAATGCTAGTTTGTTTCCCAGTGAACCAGGAAGCAAAATAATAACACAAGCTGTTGACTTAAGACAGAAGGTACATTGATTTTCATTATGCATGGCTCTGGCACACCATCATAAATATGGAAAAGTAAAGTACATAGCTTGTTTAGTTTTTTGTTTAGTTTTTTTTAAAGATATTGTGTTATCAATATGTGACCTTTTCATAACTAGATGACTTGAGCTATTTATCAGAATAATCAGTTACCATGACAGTCAAGCATCACAAGCATTCAGCAAACTTTGCTGCAGCTGTCAGCCTTGACAACATGTCAAAATTATTGACAAAAAAACAACGACTTTCAAATCACGTGCTCTGTAACAAATATGTGAAACTATCCGTCATGTTTCATATCTAAAGTATCTGTAGTTTTAAAGATGTGGTCCCAACCTTTCATGTCTAGTTTTTCCAGCTCAGAGTAGAAACAGCAGCTGGGTAGATATGTCCTGGCAACAGTTGACGTTTCCAATTGTGCAACTGTATCACCTTTCTTCAGACGCAGCCACCAGCTGTGGGCCTTGGAGGTGAAGAAATGAGCCTTGGATCCACACCCTGTTTACTTACAAAAGCAGTCCACACATGAACACAGTACCTCTGAGAGTGGCTTTTGACAATTTTGTTAAAGTTTTGTGGTTGAAGTTTGCTGTTAAAGCAGAATTCCTCATCTTTTCTCAATGTGCATCAACACGACTTTTGACTAGGTGTTAAATTTATCTGTGGCTCATATTGCCTGAGGTGTGTCAGGGCATCTCTGATCTGATTGTTACAACAGGTACCATAATTAAATCACAATTTGTCTCTGTCATAAACAGAATTACATAACACAAAAACATGTTCTACTTCATTATCTGGAATGACCAAGTTGAGGTCAATGAACTAGAACTGCATTTACCTTTAACAGGATTTAGGGTGACAGCTAATACAACATTTATTTTCTCATATCTTCTGCACTAAATTCTGACTGCCGTGACCCCAAATCTCATTCCAACCTCCCCATTTGCCAGGTGGATGAGGCCAAGGTCAAAGAAGAGGAAGATGCTGTTCCCATCACTCAGCTGGCTCACAGTTCCACACTGGAACAAGAGGTATGAGTCAGAACCCTCATTGTAAATACTAATAATACAAATAATTGGCTGCAGGTTAGTACCAAGACTGTATATGAATAAAACGTCCTAGAAAGTCTGAATTTCACTGAACACTCATTTTGGCTTTGCCTCTGTTTCACTTCAGACCACACCCTAAATATTTTTGCCTTCCCTGCTGTACCTGTAACTTTCTCTCAGACCAACCCATGTTTTGCTTTGGTAGCTATTAGCCTTTAATATCACTAATGCTTTAGTCTAGACATACTACACTATAATCTTAATATGAAATGTTGTCTCATAACACTAGATTGTCATCAGATCAGTGTCTTGTTTCTAGCTTAAGAGTTATGTTGTTGTAGCTGTGTGAGCTAGAAGTTTTTTGGAGGATAAATAATTGATCGATGATGTCCTTTTACTTTATTGGCTCACTATTCACAATATATCCAACAATTTTCAGTCAGGTCATCTGGACAGTTTCTTTTTTGCTGAAACATTTCACCTTCCATCCAGAAGGCTTCATCAGACAAAGAAACACACAACACAAAACTGATTCTTCTCCCAAACAGCTTACTCCAAAGTGGAACAAACCAGTTATGTTGGTGCTAAGATGGTGTCTTTGGCACGACCCCTCCTCTGTTGTCGGCCCTCTTCCTCGTCGACAGTCATGTTAAACGGGTTTAAAACAAAAAAGTCCATGCTCCGTTTTCCTTTTTTTTTTTACTTTTTTGGTTTTGAACCAGTTTGACATGCCTGTCGACGAGGAAGAAGGTCAGCAGCAGAAGAGGGGGCATGCCAAAAACACCATGACAAGCATGGACTTGATATAGTGATAGTTCCTTATACAGTGGACAAAGATGTGTGCATTAGGTCACAGTATGGGTATAGTGCATATGTTAAAGCCGCCATTAATGCTGAATGCAGTGTAAATGTTTTGCAGCAACATTCCAGCAACTGGACTCAACAGATCCAAACCTTTGCATTAATCAAGGAGAAGCAATGCATTTTCTGAAAGGCATTTTTGACAGTAAAATCTATTTTTAATATTGTTTACTGTATTTTTTTTGTCCTTTGTTACAGTATCTTCTTGAAAGCAACCCTACATTATCTGGTGTAGAGCATCATTACGCTCCTCCTACTTCCACTGATGTTGACTGGAGCAATTTACTCTCCGTTACAGATCTGGATGTAAGTTCTGGACATTAACATTTTTATCAGCATGTAAAAATGACAGTTAGACGAACCTGTTGGAAAACCTGAGTGTTATTTTTGTAGAAAGGAGTTTTCACAGCTATGAGTTAAGTATACCATCTAACATGCACTATATGTCTGTTGTGTAGGAACTGGACTCAATAGTTAATGAGCATCTATCAGAGCTGAGTGCAGACATCACCAGTGCCATCAGCCATGATGTTAGTTTGCATGATGCTACAGTAACCAGTGCTGGGGCATTTGGAGTGGGGTCTGGAGTATCAGAGTCCAGGATAGTCACCCAGCAGCGACGGCCACTCTTACGACTGGAATCCACAAACTCCACGCTCTCAGATGTTTTACCAGGGATGGCTGTGGGTCTTGCTGCACTCCCTTTTGCCTCGGTGTGTAATTTAACTGGAAATGTGACATCACAGAGTTTGCTGGGTGGCTGCCTGGACGAGGCCGTGTTTGACCAGATCAATCAGCTAGGTCTGGAAGGCCTGGACACTATTGACAATCAGCTGATGAATTCTCTGGGCAGAGTTGACTCACAAGGCCATGAGGACTTGGACTCGGATTCAGGGCTATCCCTGGAGAGCAGCTATGGAGGTCCAGCGTCTCCAGGTTAGTTCCGATCTTCACACACTTGTAGAATAAACACCAGTTTTTTTTTTAAACCAAGAAAATGTTTGTTATAAATATGATAAAATCATTTACCCTGTATTCCTTCAGGCTCATCTGAGATATCATCATCTAGTTCGTACTGTGAGGATGAGGGAGGAGCCACAGGCTACAACAGTGATGTGGATTCCTTACCCTCAAAAGGCATAATGGACCACACCACAATGTGGCCACCTGTTGATCTAAGGGAGAATGTTTGGCATGACCATAGCTACTCTTCTCCTGCTTTCCTCAACAAGGCATCTTTAAAACTGCCCCAGAAAACAGAGGAGGCTTTCAGCGATGATGATGATGATGATGATGGCTCACAGCTGGAAGAAGAGGAGCTGAGTCGTGATGAGCTGCGCGCCCGTGCCATGTACATCCCCTTCTCTGTCCGGCAGATCGTCAGCATGCCTGTGGAAGAGTTCATGGAGATTCTCGACTGTCATGGCTTCTCTCCTGAACAGGTGACTCTACTGAGGGACATCCGCCGGCGCGGGAAGAATAAACTGGCAGCACAAAACTGCCGCAAGCGCAAACTTGATGCCATCACAGGACTCCAGGAGGAGGTGGAGAGGCTGCAAGCTCAGAGAGACAGGCTGCTGAGAGAGAAACAGCTTACAGCTAAGACTATGGGTGCTGTGGGCCACCAGATAAAACAGCTGACTAGAGACGTTCTGGCTCGGCTGAGAGATGATTCTGGACGGCCCCTGAGCCCAGAGAGGTTTACCCTGCAGTGCGGGGCTAACGGAAGGGTTGTAATTCAGCCCTTAAGACGTCCTGCTGTCTCTACATCAGCAGGCAACAAAACAGACAAGAGGAAGAAGGGAAAAAAACAATGATGCTTTATTTCCTGCCAAGACTTGAACTTTCAGGGGTTTTTATATTAATGAACTCAACTGACTTTGGTTTTGGGCTTCTTCTTTTGTAAAAGTGTGTGAAGATTCACCACTGTTGAGCGCTTCAATTTTCAAAAGCTGCAAAAGTCTCGAAAAACAACAATCTGTAAATATCTAGAAATTTGTAGCTTACACACTGGACATTTTGTGAGACATGCAGGGTTTAAGGGAACCGTTATCTGCTGGCAACAGTGTTGGTCTGCATTTATGCCTGTTAAAATTTAACTACATATAAGGTGTGACCGTTACTGAATAGAGAAATAAGGGGCGTTGTGCTTGTTTGCTTGTAGTTTTGGCCTTTTTACACCTTTTCAGTTGAAGTGGGAGGTTAAAGATTGTATTTGTTGTGGTTTTAAAGGTTCTTGGAGTGCTCATTTTTATCATAAGACCTTCAAGAATAATGCTTTTTTTTTTTTCAAAATGGAAATGTTAGGTCTACGTGATTAAATAACTAAAGTCTCTTATGTTTACACGCAGGTTTAAGATACTCGAGCATGTTGTTATTGAAATTTTTAAAAAATGATGTCACAGTTGTCTTGATGACATACAGAATACCAATGATTAAAATTAAGGAGCCTTAATTAGTTTTTTATTGTTGCATTAACAGATAATAAAAGAATAAGTGTTTACCTCTGTGACTTTTACATTAAAATTGTGTTTGAGCACACATTAACAAAACTATAATATTTTGACCTTTAACATGATTGCATTCTACCTCACACTTCAATTTTTTTGTTCATTTTTGGAAAGATTTAAACAAGCCTTTTCTGTTCCCTGCACGTCCTTGTAAATGTGACGTAAGTACGGTAGACATGGACACAGCCACAGCTCTGTGTTGGAATGGTTGGATGGGGTTTTTTTTTTAGTTCTGCAGAGTTCCTAATCATAAATGTTATGTTAATGGATACACTGCTGAATATGGTCAACAAAATGAGTAAGATGAAGAATTTTCAAAGCTCAAATTCACTTAACTTATTTCACATACTTTGAACTTTTTGATCAAATTTACATTTTACAACTTGCTTAACTTTAGAGTAATTCTTAACTCATGTTTAACTAAGGATCTAAGTTTTTTTTTGTTTGTTTTTTATCAGGAAGGTTGTGTTAGGTACTTTATTAAAATCATTTTACACTGCATTTTTGTTACCGTTTACCTGGAGGAACAAGTGCGTTGTAACTGGACTGTGTCAAACAGATTGAGTCTATGTACCTGGCAGGAAAGACAAACTGCATTTACTGCTCACTGGTTCCATTATGACAATCGTTTTAAGGTTTGAGTTGTTGCAAAAAGTTAGTTATCAGTTTGCTCATCTGTCAGGAATCCCACCTTCCTCTCCAAACTGACACAACACACCTGCTGCAGGTAGGACACTGACTCCTCATAAGAAATGTTCTTTACACAAACTCACTCTGGGATATATTTTTCCTATCCCTTCTATTGCACTTGCTTCTTTTTACAAACTTAATTTTCTGTACAGATCTTTAAATGTGTGTTGCTTATTTATATGTTTGAGATTATGAGAACGATATCTGATGGGTTGTTGTGTAATCCATTGCTACACTGCTTTGCTAAGTGTGAAATGATCCGAGTGAAGTACTGGTAGTTTATATTGATCAGTAATTTTATTTTTGCTGTTCTGGTTTGGTCTGGTTTTTTTTTTTGGTTCTTTGTACAACTTCTACAATTTTTTTTTTGTTTTGCATGAGTGATATTTGTTTGATTGCAGGGTGATTGTTCATATTTTAATTTTGATTAAAGATGACTTGATTTCTTGGCTGATCGTCTTGATTTTGTTACCACGCTTTTAAGGGACCTAAATGGTGATGGTATACCTGCAAAATCGCTTCAAGTTAAATGTTGCTATACTCCTACCACTGTGAGGTTATAGGAATGCAGAGACACATCTATTTAAAGCTTCTGAAATTATATTTTAAGGTTTTTTGCTCCAAACAAGCAGTTACAATCTGTATTTCATAAAAGCAACATTTGCTTCTCAATACCTAACAAAAGGAAAAACGTAAACTGGGAAAACTGGACAAGTTAGGCTCACAGTAAAGAAGAAATACCATTTAAAACGTGTTTTAAGGTGCATGTTTTCAAAAGTGAGCATTAAAAATTAATCATGTTTTAGGAGATAGCACAATTGTAAGAGCAAGACCTGATAAATTTGGTTTTAATATTACATCTGCTTTTTGAGGGGGATTACAAAAGAAAAGCTGAGTGTTAGGGACAAATGGGAAAGCACCAGATTTAATCGACTGCAAAAGTGAAAGATGTCAAAAACGATCAGACGGAGTAAACATATGAACTTATTTTGAAGAAACGCATACATCTGAAAAAACTTACAAGAAATAATTTTGTGTTAAAGTAATGAAACAGTAATAATAAAATACATATTTTTGAAATTGGCCAAACCTGTCCACATTTCAAGACCTTAACAATACATCTGACTTATAACTCAAGAATCACGTTTAAAACCCATATTTACTTTACACTGCTTTTGTTTGGTATCGTAAGTTTAGCTAACTCGATTTTTAAGTGCATTTTTTTATGTCAGATTTTTGCCATTATCAGTTGGGCTTTCGTGTTTTTTAAAAGGTGATTTAAAACGTTGTTTCAACCAAAGCCTGTAAAACAGGGGCCTCCTGTTACCTCAGGCCCACGTTTTGCGTTGTCTTCCGGCTTCCGTAGCTTGGTCAGCCTTTAGCTCCGCCTCCGCTGCAGAAAAAAGGTTCTGAGTGGCGCGTGGCTAACGAAGTTATTCCCGCCGTGTTAAGGTACGTAATCTGCGTTTGCTTGTGTTTTGTTCTTTTATTGGTGCATCATTATTTACTTCGTTGCTTAACTTTAATATTTAAGTAAGACAAACTGTCGGAAAATAAGGAACACGAACTTTGTGTTTACGTTCTTGTGGTATAACAAGTCAAGAGTTTGAATTGTATCAGCAGCATTAGCTTCTATTGTTTGAGCACTAGCTACCAGGTACGTACATAGGAAGGTCTTTTTCTAAATTTACTCTAGCTCCTTCCTTTTTTACTCTGTCATTAATTAAAATTCTGCTGTTTTTCTTGACACGAGTTTTGTTTTAATGTTGCGCAGGAAAACGAGGGAAACTTTTAAGCCCGCCGGGTTAGCCATTTTTGCTAACTTTGTTACGTTATAAGAGCTTTCCTGCCTAATTGTTGTAATAAGGCTGAGCAGATGGGCAAGGTTAAATGTACTGTGTTTTTGTGTAATTTATTAGGCCTTTCATTTCGTTAAATAGCAATTATAGCGACTGCGCTGATGGTCTTTTGAATAGCATTAGCTTTAGCATCTCCGGAGGAAGAGGAGGAGCTTGATTCTTAAAAATGTTCAGCACGTCACCTGCGTAATTGTTTTTACAGAACAAAATGGGCAAAAAACAGAACACCAAAAGCAAGAAAGACGGTCAGACACAAGAGGAGCCTGAAGAATTTGTTGTAGAGAAAGTCCTGGACCAGCGGTTGGTTAATGGGAAAGTGGAGTTCTACCTGAAGTGGAAAGGATTTACAGAGTGAGTTACCAGGGATGGGACCCCACTCCTGGCAGGGCTGGAAGTGCATCCCTGGTATGGGGTCGTGCTATATTTTGTTCTCTCTTGTGGTTACACGAAGCTGCTGCTATTCTCCAGGCAGCCTAGTTTTAGCTCCTTCATTTTTATTGATGATTGATTAATGTTTAAAGATGCACATGTCAACTCTGCACTTTCTCACATAGAGCTGACAACACCTGGGAGCCTGAAGAAAACCTGGATTGCCCTGAGTTGATTCAAGCCTTTCTGGATGCACAGAAGAACATTAAAGAGAAACCTGCTGCTGTTAAAAGAAAGGCATCCACAGATGAGCCAGAGTCAGAATCCAAAAAGCAAGAAATGGTTAGTCCATCCATTATTCTGCACACTTCTTCCTTTTTGGGTCGTGGGGATCTCTGGTGCCCATGTCCAGCTATCTGTGTGTGAGGCGTAAGACACCCTGGGCAGGTCGCAAGTCCATCGCAGGGACACATGGAGACAAATGAGACAACAATTTGCACCTTCACTCAAACCTAGGGACCTTTTTAGAGTTATCAGTCAGCCCAACATGCATGTTTTTGCTCTGTGGGACGAAACCAGAATACCTGGTGTAAACCCAGATGTGGTTTGTGAAAATATATTGTGCCTCCAAACAGCATTTGCTTTTTAAAAAAACCTTTTTTATTATATGTCTGTCCCTGACATCACAGTTATTGAGTGTGAAATAACATGTTCAAGGACTTGTCGACCGGTAAAACATGTTCTTAAAAAGCTTGTGATTCTGTCATTAGGGGGGAAAAAATGTGAGAAAATAGATGAGTAACTGTATATGTTAATATTTTGTTGACTTTTTGTGTAGGCTGAGAAACCCCGTGGCTTTGCACGAAACCTTGAGCCAGAACGAATCATCGGAGCAACAGACAGTAGTGGGGAGTTGATGTTTTTGATGAAATGGTGAGTATTAAAAATACTTTTGTTTGTGTCGAGCAGTAAACATTTCCATGTTTGTGTCGAGCAGTAAACATTTCCATGTTTGTATCAGCATTTTCATTAATTTGTCCTTTTTTTATGTGTTTAAATTAAAAAAGGTCAAATATTGTAAATATGCATAATTAACCTAACTAAACTTGAAGTAAGTTGTAGTGTGCAAAACTTACCGAAATTACATACTTTTTCAGTTTTTTTTTTATTTTCTCTTTGTTCTCATTTGAATAGCAAGCATCTTTTGTTATGTTTATGCTGCACTATACAGTTGATAAACTTAGTCCACTGAGTATTTCAGTTTCTTCAACCACAAGTTCTTTTTATGTAAGATGTGGCTTTTACCATTTCCCTGAAAACATTTTTTTTGTTTGTTTTTACTCGTTTTTTAAGGCTGCATTGGTTTTTAGGGTTAAACTGACAAAATGATCCATAAATGATCAAATTAGAGAGAGAAAAAAATCAAAGTAGAAAGTAGCACTGATTTAACAGTAAATGTGGTTTTAAAAATAATGCAATGGAGACTAGGGGTGTAAATGAATAAATCTGTGTCTGGCAATTCAATTCCGATTTTTGGTGTCACGATTCGATTGAGAAACGATTTTGTATTTAGAAACAATTTTTCCATTGAAATGGTCATAAATTTTGTTTCAATTATGTAACTAAAACAACTATGTAAACAAATAGAATATTTATTTAAAAATAATAATTTTAGGTTCTTTACTGTATCAAATCTTTTTGCATCATTTTTATATTTATATCAAAAACAGGAACAAATACAGGAGTGCATACAATTCTGTAACTTAAATTACCAGTATTAGGTTATCTTAGTTGCCTGGCTTTTTCTCAACAACAACAAAAAAACAATTTAGGAACAAATAATTCGTCCATCATCTTTACCCACTTCTTCCTTTTCGAGTCATGGGGGTCACTGTTGCCCATGTCCAGCCATCACTGTGCGAGAGGCAGGGGACATCTGGACAGGTCTCCAGTCCATCACAGACAAATAATTCAAAATATATAAATGTAAAAATAAACAGACTTCAGCCTACCATAGTGCATTAACCTTTAACTCGACATAAAATACAGACTTCAGTTCTTTTAACCATATTGCTCTAACATTTGCTATATTTTCAAAACTTAACCTAATATGAAATACACAGACTTCAGTTTTTTTTTTTTTTACCATATTTATTTATATTTGGTAAAAGGGACCAGACAAAGTGCAGCTCAAAGACCCCGGTGATGAGAAAAACAAATGGACTTAATGTTCCCTTGCCCGGACGTGGGTCACCGGGGCCCCACTCTGGAGCCAGGCCTGGAGGTGGGGCGAGCGCCTGGTGGCCGGGCTTTTACCCATGGAGCTCGGCCGGGCACAGCCCAAAGAGGAGACATGGGTCCCCCTTCCCATGGGCTCACCACCTGTGGGAGGGGCCAAAGGGGTCGGATGCAATGTGGGATGGGTGGTGGCCGAGGGCGGGGACCCTGGCGGTCTGATCCTCTGCTACAGAAGCTGGCTATTGGGACGTGGAATGTCACCTCACTGGTGGGGGAAGGAGCCTGAGCTGGTGTGTGAGGTTGAGAGGTTCTGGCTAGAAATAGTCGGAATCACCTCTACGCATGGCTCTGGCTCTGGAACCAGTTTCCTTGAGAGGGACTGGACACTTCCAATCTGGAGTTGCCCCTGGTGAGAGGTGCTGAGCAGGAGTGGGCATATTTATTGCCCCCCAGCTTGGTGCCTGTATGTTGGGGTTCACCCCGGTGAATGAGAGGGTGGCCTCCCGCCGCCTACATGTGGGGGGATGGGTTCTGACTGTCGTTTGTGCTTATGCACCAAATGGCAGTTCAGATTATCCACCCTTTTTTGAGTCATTAGAAGGGCTACTGGAAAGTGCACCTCCTGGGGACTCCTTGTTCTGCTGGGGGACTTCAATGCTCATGTGGGCAATGACAGTGAGACCTGAAGGGATGTGGTTGGGAGGAACGGCCCCCCTGATATGAACCCGAGTGGTGTTCTGTTGTTGGACTTCTGTGCTCGTCACGGATTGTCAATAACAAACACCTTGTTCAAGCATAAGGGTGTCCATATGTGCTCTTGGCACCAGGACACCCTAGGCCGCAGTTTGATGATCGACTTTGTCATCGTCTCATCTGATCTGCGGCCACATGTCTTGGACACTCGGGTGAAGAGAGGGGCGGAGCTGTCCACTGACCACTACCTGGTGGTGAGTTGGCTCCGATGGTGGGGGAGGATGCCGGTCAGACCTGGCAGACCCAAACGTATTGTGAGGGTTTGCTGGAAACGTCTGGCAGAGTCTCCTGTGACACGGAATTTTAACTCCCACCTCCGGGAGAACTTCGAACATGTTCCCGGGGAGGTGGGGGGCATTAAGTCTGAGTGGGCCATGTTCTGTGCCTCTATTGTCGAGGTGGCTTACCAAAGCTGCGGCCGCAAGGTTGTCGGTGCCTGTCGCAGCAGCAACCCTCGAACCCTATGGTGGACACCGTTGGTGAGGGATGCTGTCAGGCAGAAGGAGGAGTCCTATCGGGCCTTTTTGGTCTGTGGGACCCCGGAAGCAGCTGATGGGTACCAGCATGTCCAAGCGACATGCGGCTCGGGTGGTCGCTGAGGCAAAAACTCGGGCATGGGAGGAGTTTGGAGAGGCCATGGAGAATGACTTCCGCACAGCTTCGGGGCGATTCTGGTCCACCATCCGTTGTCTCAGGAGGGGAAAGCGGTACGCCAACAACACTGTTTATAGTGGGAGTGGTGTGCTGCTGACCTCAACTTGGGATGTCGTGGGTCAGTGGGCAGAGTACTTTGAAGACCTCCTCAATCCCACCGGCATGTCTTCCACTAAGGAAGCGGAGCCTGGGGACTCTGGGTCGAGCACTCCAATCTCTGGTGCTGAGGTCAATGAGGTGGTTAAAAAGCTCCTCGGTGGCAGGGCCCCAGGGGTGGATGAAATTCGCCCGGAGTTCCTTAAGGCTCTGGATGTTGTAGGGTTGTGTTGGCTTACGCGACTCTACAATATTGCGTGGACATTGGGGGAAGTTCCCCTGGATTGGCAGACCGGGGTGGTGGTCCCCCTATTCAAAAAAGGGGACTGTAGAGTGTGTTCCAACTACAGGGGAATCACGCTCTTAAGCCTCCCTGGTAATGTCTATTCCGGGGTTCTGGAGAGGAGGGTCTGTTGGATAGTCGAACCTCAGATTCATTAGGAGCAGTGCAGTTTTCTTCCTGACCGTGGAACACTGGACCAGCTCTACACTCTCTCAGCAGGGTCCTGGAGGGTGCGTGGGAGTTTACCCAACCGGTCTACATGTGCTTTGTGGACTTGGAGAAGGCGTTCGACCGCGTCCCTCGGGGAACCCTGTGGGGGATACTCCGGGAGTATGGGGTACCGGGCCCTTTGATACGGGCTGTTAGGTCCCTGTATGACCAGTGTCAGAGCCTCGTCCACATTGCCGGCAATAAGTCGGGCTTGTTCCCGCTGAGAGTTGGACTCTGCCAAGGTTGCCCTTTGTCACAGATTCTGTTCATAACTTTTATGGACAGAATTTCTAGGCGCAGCCAAGGTGTTGAGGGGATCCGTTTTGGTGGCCTTAGGATTGTGTCTCTGCTTTTTGCAGATGATGTGGTCCTATTGGCTTCATCAGATCATGATCTACAGCTTTCGCTGGAGCGGTTCGCAGCCGAGTGCGACGCGGCCGGGATAAAGATTAGTTCCTCCAAATCAGAGGCCATGGTCTTTAGCTGGAAAAGGGTAGAGTGCCCTCTCCGGCTCAGGGAGGAGGTCCTACCCCAAGTGGAGGAGTTCAAGTGTCTTGGGGTCTTCTTCACGAATGAGGGAAAAATGGAACGTGAGATTTGATAGGTGAATAGGTGCAGCGTCTGCAGTGAAGCAGGCGCTCTACAGGTCTGTCATGGTGAAGAGAGAGCTGAGTCAAAAGGCGAAGCTCTCAATTTACCGATCGATCTACGTTCCTACCCTCATCTATGGTCATCTTTATCACTAAAAAAGCTATGTGAAGGAATAATGTACATTGGGTCCAGCATATTATAAATAAACCTAAACCCCTCGCCTTCAACTGAGCTGTCTGCTTGTAAATCTTTTGTAAGCGATGGAGTGAGAAATCTTCACAGTCCTTAGCTGGAAGTTTGTTGCGGAGTTCGCTTGTCTGCTGCTTCGCTTTTCATCTTCTGCGCATTTGTCGCATTTCCAAAATACCGCCATTTTATTTTACACTTGCAAACAACCGTACTTTTGCCAAGCTCCATCTTCCCTGGAACATTATAGAATCTGAAATGACTTTACACTGAGTTTTAACGACAAAGGATTTTTAAAGGATTTTTATGGGCAAAGGATTTGGCGGGTGACGTCACGTGTGCCGCAGAATGGTAGCACTTATGGGAGCTCTGCTTCAACTCAACCTTTGTTTACTCTTGTTTTTATTTTAACTTTTTTTTGTGCCTACAATGCACACCCATGGTACGGGTATGACCGCAACACACTTGTGGAGTTTTGTGTGTTGCTGCCTTGCCATCATACCTTCTTGCCATCATGTTTCAGTTCCCGGCCCCCCTCAGGCTTTGGCCTGTCATGGCGGTTGTCTCTGTGATCCTCCATCTGCCTGCACGGACCGAACTCTATGGACCTGTTTGGTTCCGTGGGGAAACCTTGGATGTTCTCTGTCTTCCAAACCTGATTCTGGAGGGCAGTCTGTGAGGGCCGCTGCTGCGGTCGTTATTGCCACCAAGCTGCTGCTCGGACCTGCTAACAAGATCCTCCATCTGCCTACACACGCGGTACAAACCCGTTCGGTTCTGCGGGGAAACCTGGGACGTTCTCTGTCTGCTGGACCCGGTTCTGGACCGCGGTCTGTGAGGACAGCTGCTGCGATCCTTATTACTATCAAGCTGTGGACCTGACCTGCTAACAAGACCACGCCGCTAATGGAACGGAACCATGATGTTGAAAGAACCTCACTGCTCACCGAATCACACTGTAGATGTTTCTTTGTCACCATTGGCACCTTGTTTTTTAGTATTTTAGTAGTATTTTTTAAATGTTTTTTTACTGTTAGTAGTATTTTTTTAAATGTTTTTTAGTATGTTTGTAGTATTTTTTTAATGCTTTTTAGTATGCAAGTAATTTTTTTTATGCTTTTTAGTATGTTAGTAATATATTTTTAGTATTTTTGCTGCATGATTTATTTATTTATTTTTGGGTGAGTCGAGACGTTTCTTCTCGTCCTAAGCATTTCATTACATTGTTGACTTTGTGTTGATTTTGCACATGACGCATCTAACCTAACCTAGGAGCAGGTTGAATCATGCTGTCCTCCGCTCCATGCTAGTGGACTCCATTCAGATAAAGGGAGCTGGCTAACTAGCTTGCTATACGGTGGCCTACAAGGCCAAATTCTATGATGGGTGGACCCGTAATGCCATATGCAGGAGTAGGAGCGGGAAAAAAAAGTGTTTTAAATCAATTTATGGGCTTTTAGAATTGATTCTGAATCGCCTGGACTAAGAATCTAGATCCTTGAAATTAACTTTTTTCTGCACCTCTAAGAGAAACTGCAAATGGCAGACTGTGAAACAGAATACCAGCCTCTGTTTTAATGCTTCATAAAAATAAGTTCCTCTGGCACCGTTGCTGTCATATTTTCTAGGTTTTTTTTCTTCCTCTTAACATTTTGGTTTATTTTTCAGGAAAGACTCCGATGAAGCAGATTTGGTCCCAGCCCGAGAGGCCAACACTCGCTGCCCTCAGGTGGTCATATCTTTTTATGAGGAGCGACTGACATGGCATTCCTGTCCAGAGGATGAAGCTTAGTATTCCTGCTGTTCCTATCATCAGCTCGCTCCTTTAGCCTGCATTTTAGCTTTAGCTACCTTTAGATATTTTTGAAAATGTTTCAACAGCTCTGACATTGTATGAGGAGAGGTTTATTCCTGTACATAGTGTTTGAGTGAACGATTGTGTTGACTAATTTTCAGGAACCTTCTGCTATCCTAGCATGACATATTTGTTTTATTAAACTGTCTAAATTCCTACATGTTCAAATGTTTTAAAATTCTTGAATATGCTAAGCTGTCAACTTCACAAAATGTTTTTTAGTTTTTTCTCTATAAGTACTGACAGGTTGTTTTTCTCAGAGCGTTTTGTTTACTGATCGTCAGAATTTCAGGTTTAAATAAAACTTTTGCATTGTAGTTTCTTAGTTTTGTTTATCCTGGCTCCAAAGAAACGTATATGCAAAATTCGGATAAGAAAAAATACAGTTTGATAAAAGTTTAGTCCAGCGATTCTTCAAGCCTGTAAGTTTTCACTTTCAAAATAAAGTTGTATCTTTTTCTAATGTCTTGATGCTTGTAGATGAACAAGGTTGAGTCAGTTCCTGTGGACGGACTCTTTGTTGAAGCATGTCGACTGAAGAAGTCCTTTGGATAAAACATGAAACTTTTCAACAAAGAATGTCCAGAGGACCCGACTCCACCTTGTTGGATCCTTCTGTATTGATTTCATAAAGTGAACTGAATGTGGATGATGTGTCCATGACAGGCTGCAGATGTTACTGTTCTGTACATTTCTTTGATACCTTCCCATTAAAGTTAACTTTACATTTATTTTAATTTCCCCCTTTATTCAAAGTAAGGAAGTAAAACTTTATTTCTATAGCACATTTCACAGACGTATAAATCGCAAAGGCATGACAAACAAACAAAAAAATCAGAAGTGTTTTGGAAGCTTAAGATATATATTTAAAAAAATCTTTCACACGTGAGCCCTGAAATAAAGTTCTGGTTTAGTGACAATGGGAGGGAAAGGGAACATTTATCCCAATGTCTCAAGAGTTAGGAACTTCAGTGGATAAAAGAGCAGAAAGTTTAAAAGAATTTGGTTGTTACCATTTTTTTAAATTCTCTCTTCCATTGTGATTACATCATGTCTAAGCAACTCAAAGGCCATTGTTTACAGTTTGAACACAAGATGGTGCTACAAAGAAAACCTGTGATGACTACAGTACTGCTGTGAAACTGAAATGGATTTGAGAGTAAACATTTAGTGCCATCCATTATCTTTACCCACTTCTTTATTTTCGGTTTGCTGGGGTCACTGGTGCCCATGTCCAGCTATCACTGAGAGAGGCGGGGTGTACGTCTCCAGACCATCGCAGGGCCATATAGAGACAAGGAGACAACCATTCATTCACTCACCTAGGGACAATTTAGAGGCTAATCAACCTAACATGCATGTTTTTGTTCTGTGGGAGGAAACCCACACATGCATGGAGAGAACATGCAAACTCCACCCAGAAAGGGGGCTGGGATTTAAACCAGCGACCTCGCTACTCTACCAACTGCACCACCGTGCCGCCTCATACTTTAGACTAAACAAAAACTAGCTGTTAGATATTTTTCGTATGATTAAACTTAGTAGTTTGAACGAACATCCCAGACTATTTGTGTGAGAGAACATGTCCACTTTTTGAATTTTCCAGCCCCGGTGGAACATTGAGGTCCTCCAGAGGAGAATCTGGAAAGTTTTCACTACAACTGTAACACCACATTAGCAACATGTGTCCACCTGATGACCTAATTTAACAAACTTTATGTGCTAATAAATGATCCCGTGTGATGTCAGCTGACATTTTTAAGACTACAACTCCTGGGCTGGATGAAATTAGCTTTAACTTTTGAGGACTGTCTTGGTAAGGTGACTTTCATTCTTTTATGTAGCTTATATCTGGTTGATGATTTTTTTTTTTTACAATAGCTAACGTTAATTTGCATGCACCATTTCTTTGTTTTTCCAATGTTCTTTCACAGCTTGCCACATTTTGCTGCAAATAAATCTGAAAATTCACATTAGTTCATGGGGCCCACCAGTATTCAGTCAAGAACAAAAATACTGGCGCTGTATTAGAATTTGTTTAGGTGTGCAAAGTATCTTTAGTGGTTGAATGAGCAGACTGGGAAAAAGTATTTTTGACAGCATGTTGTAATATTGAGTTTATGTCTTGAATGAAGTTTCATATTAAACAATTTTCCGTTTGAGCTTATATTTAACTGTCAATGTGTTGGAGTGCAAACTACTGAAATCCATTTCTAGACACAAAAAAATCACTAACAGATAAAGTGTTATGGTTTGGAAAAGGTGCAATTGTGCTTTTCTTCACGTATGTCCTAAAACTTATGAGATGACGCAGATAATAGGTTTAATTTTCCTTACAAACCAAGTTTTTGAATCCTAATAATGAAAGAAAATATCTGGGGAAAGAAATGTCTTTAAGTCTATTTATTTATTTTAAATAATATCACGTAAAGATTTGCCTTTGGTATCCCTAAATCATTCACAATAATTCGTGTCTTGAGCAGAGCCCTGTAAAGAGAGAGTTGCGACACTCTTTGAACTCGCCGATACGCGGTCACGTGGTTCATGCAGCTCCCCATAGTTCCAAACAGCTCATCGCTGTCAGTCAGTTTGAGCAGCTGCTGACACAACATAACACAAAAATCGACTTTTCTTACTTTACCTGACGTCTTTCAGTAATTGCTGAGCAGTAACGAACTGATTACTTAACCGATTATTGATTATTTCACAAACTATGCATTTTATCAAAGCATTTTTAGAAGCGGCTAATACATTTATCATTAAATTTTAGAAGGAAACGAGACTGCAAACACATATTTGTTAGAAAAATAATGTATATGCAATACAGTGATCAATATAGCCATGTCAGTGTTTTATAACGTTACACACGATAAAAAAAGATCAGAGTAACTCCTGTTATAAAGCTGTTTCTGATGTTCTCTGCAGGATAATGCTCCACCTTGTCCTCCATGCAGCATCAGATCTGCTCCAGCTTACCTCAGATCATCTGGATGAATTCTTGATTTCTATAGAAGATATTAATTCAACCTTTATTTAAACAGGTTCGTCCCATTGAGCCTTGAGGACTCATTTAACCTGGATAAATAAAGGCTAAATGAAAAATGAAAAATTTACAAGAGAGACTGAATATAATTGTTGTATTTGTCGTTTTTTTTATGGCAACCAAGTACCTGGTAAGTGAGTTGATTGTAGCCTGACAACTATTGTAAAACTGTAATTCATTGATTAAAATGTTCATTTAAATGAAACTGTTTCTAGTTAAAATCATAACAGATGACAAAGTAAGTGTTAACTGTGCAAAAATAAATTTCCAAACAATTATAACATATGTAAAATGTAAAGCAAGCTTTAATAAAGTACTTTTACTACTATTTATACTGTTTATTAATGACATCATCTCAAGTCAGCAGGACCACCATCATCATCATCACAACAACACAAAGTGAGAGGTGTAAATTTAATCTGCACAAACATTTTCAATCAGGGCTCAAAATGTTTAACTGTCAAAGAAATGTGCAAGAAAATAAACTAATGTCACTCTACAGGCACATTTAGAGAGAGGACAGTTCACAGAGACACAGTGAGGACGTGTGAGACTGAGAGACAGTGAGGACGTGTGAGACTGAAGGAGGTTCAACCATTTGTTCATGGACCAGAACCAGATGAGAAGAACAGCAGAACTTCCACTGACCAGTGACCTGACCAGTGATCTGACCAGTGATCTGACCAGTGAGCACACGTGTTGTTCTAAATTAAACTTTGGTACGAACAGTGTTAAATAAGACATGTCATATTTTTTATTGAACAATAATCTTCATTCTAACAGTGACGTTGTAATTTCAGAGATTGAGGAAGAAACAGAAATGAGGCGAGTGAGATGAGGGAAAGATGAAAATGTGTCCTCAGAGGACGGGGACATGTCAGGATCTGATGATCCAGGATCAACAGGACCAGGAGGATGGATCAACAGGCAGTCAGGGAACAGAGATGAACAACCTGAGGAACAATTAGAACAAAAAATACATAAGCAGGACAGAAGAATCTCAGACAAGAAAATTAACTCAGTCCTGCGAAGAAAAATGTTAATGGAAAATAAATTGACATATTTTTACAAAAGATCAGATGAAGACAACTGGCATGAAGAAGAACTTCCAGCTCCATCTCAATGTACCTGTGATAGTTTAATAAGTGTTTTTGTTACTGTCCTACAGTTTATTGATGCTGATTTATTCTTGTAATAATTCTTATTTCTTGTTCTGTCTTGAAAGAGTCTCATCTCAACTTGACCCATGATTACCAAACACTAAACTAATAATATAAAACAAATGTAAATTAACAGTCCTGCAGTAAATACCAACTTTGTGAAGGTTATGGTGTTAAAGTAATTTTATTCAAACATCTTGATTAAGCTGTTATTGATTAATAGAAGACAGAAAATGAGATCTTGTACCTTTGTGATACTTTGAATGCAACATTCAGTTCATGAAGTCATTCTCCTCTGGTTTACCTGGAAAACATGAAAACATTGACTCATCTCCACAATCACGTTTTTCTCTAATGATAATGTCACAATTTATGCTGCAGTCTTTGACAAACGATCTATAACTTTAACTAAATTACATCAGTCTTGTTGTCATGTTGTCATCATTCTTTGTTAAATCAGGTCTCTCTTGTAAATGAGTCCTCGAGGCTCAATGAGATTTACCTGTAGAAATAAAGATTGAATGAATCTCTCAGAAAAAAAGACCAAATATTTTCTAGTTGAGTTCAGTAACTGGAATTACCATAAATTTAAAAAAGACCACCTTTCAAAATGTAAGCAGTAATAGATATTTTAAAACGTTGAATTAGAAATAGACTCGTTTAAACCGTCATGTTGCAGAGCAGCTGCAGTTAAAACACAACTAGTAATTTAACGTTTCATTAACTAAAACTGGTGACATGAAGTATTAATGTTGATAAATTGAGGTACAGAACAGTCAGATAACGCTTCACAATGGAGAAAAAGTGTCGTATTTGCATTAACTTACCGGAAAAACACGGAAAATGAACTACGTTCAGTGCTGAACCCGCTGCTGTTTGGAACTCTTTGCCGCTTCATGACCCACGTGACTTCCGCATTCCATTCTTTCTATGGGAGTCTATGGGAGTGTCGCAACTCTCTCTTTACAGGGCTCTGGTCTTGAGACGTTGTGAATGTGACGTTCAACCAATCAGAAGCGTTCTTGTACGGCGTCATTACGTGGCTCCGCCCACCAGCTGAGACCGCTTGAACTAAATGATTAAAGGAGCAGACAGGTGCGCTCTATACCGTAACAAACTACTCTGTTGTTGGCTCATTTTACTGTCGCTTAAACCTGATCATTTAGGCACGTGGAAAGGAGACTTTACACAGTTTTAAGTTGCGTTTTGTTGATATTTTATAGCAGTGTAGTGCCTGGACCACAAAGGAGGACTCAGTTTAGTTGAGCTGAGGCAGGCCAGAGCCGCCTCGGCTGCTCTCTAACACTGGATTAAGTTCCTGAAAGTGATGAGAAGAAAGGTAGGATTAAAAAAAATATATAATTCTTCTCTTCTCTTCTTTTGTGGTTATTATTTAAGTCATATATTTGCTTAACGTTTTAAACATTTCAGAATGAATGTTTTAATCACCTCCATTACTTTCCTTTTTCACGCAGGGTAAGGTGAATGGTAAATGGACTGTACTTATATAATATAGCGCCTTTCTATCTAATCAAGATACTCAAAAGTGCTTTACAACACAATCTGTGCCCTCCCTTACCTCCACCCACACATACAGCACTCTACTGAGCTAATGTGAACAAAGAGACTTATAGATCATATCATATAAGGGATGCACATCAGAGTGAGGGGTTCAGTGTCTTGCTCAGGGGCACTTGAGCATGTGGCTGCTGGTGGAATCGAACCCCTAACTCTCCCACTGGAGGATGACTGCTCTAACCACTCAGCTACAGCTGCCCCAAAGGGGTCTTCACATTTGTTTCTCATTAATAATTTGATTCTGGTACCTTTTTTAAAAATGGTTTTGTGCAGGGAGGAGATAAAATATAATGATGATGATGATGAAAAACAGAATAATGATTAATTAATATAATATAATGTAATAATAAACAATATAATAATAAATGGTGAGAATTCACAACAGAAAGCCGTAACCTTGTGCCTTAACCTTATGACACCACTGACCAAAGGCAGTCATGGGGAACAAATTGATTTTGTCTCCAAAAACAATACAAATCCTTTGTGTGCAGCTGAACCTGCCATGAACGCAGCAGTTAAGAGGATCATTTACATCATGCAGTACATCCAGTGAAATAGTCAAGTGTTCGTGTATAGGTACACGCTGATATGGAACGTTTGTTCTTATTGATCACTTCTGTTTTAAGTTGTAAATAATCTCATTTGATGCAGGGACACAAGGGCCTGCACATGCTCTTGCGACCATGTGAGGGACTTTTTGTTTTGAAGTTGGGTAATATTTGCATTCAGATATGTTGTCAGATATGGTTCAGTCTAATTTACATTAGAGCAGTTAACTGTTCCTGTCAGTATTGGACAAACGTGTGAAGTGTTATTTTTTTGTTTTTTACCCCCGACCAGTTTAGTTCTTTGCCCTTTGATCAGCATTAAACCAGATTAGCTCATTGTTTATGAGGTTGGGTCTTTGTGAAATATAGCAGTAAAACTGAATCCATTGACTGAGAATATCTCTGAAAACGATCAGTGGATTCACATGCTGCCTATACTCTAAAGATAAATTAAGTAAACAGATGTCACACTTTCGTGCAGTATTGCAAAACATTTTGCTCAATACGGCCTCTTTCTTGCTGCTTTCTTAGAATTTGTACCAAAATGGATAGTATTCTGGATAATCTCTCAACTGTAAGTACTCGAAAGCTATTTAACACATGTTCCTGTTGATATTTGTGCAGCTTAAGCTGTTAATCTGTTTTCGCTTTTTATACATTTCTATAACTGAGCTCCAGTTTAGACTTTTTTTTTTTTTTTTTTCAGGAATTTGTTAGCATCTGTGTTCGAGATCCAAGGCTTCACAACGACGAGCTATGGCACAATCATGTTGACTATGAGATCAGCCTGCATGTACGTTCTGTTTTTTTTTTTTAAAGTAATTATTTTTTATTGTTCTGATAATGAGTCGAGTCTTGTTTCCACAGACAAACAGCATGTGTTTTCGTAAGAAGACTTCCTGTGTGAGGCGCCGTTACAGGGAGTTTGTTTGGCTGCGTCACTGTCTGGAGCAAAATGCTCTGATCATGCAAGTTCCAACCTCAAACTTCTATTGGCATTGACTAAAAGTTCAGCTTGTAAAGTATTTTATTTCTTTTTGTTGTGCTCAGACAACTGCCCAAATTGCCTCCGTGGAACCCCTTTTTTAGTGCGAAGAAAAAGGAGCACGTTAACCAGAGGATGAAAGGCCTGCAGGAGTTTTTAGAAGAGTGAGTTGCTCTGAAGCAGTTTGTGCAGTCCAGTTAAGAGTATTGCCATTTTGTGGTATCTTAAATGCCTTTTGATTAAATTCTCATTTTGATGGCTTTTCCCCTCTAGTGTTCTTCAGAATCCCTTGTTGTTATCTGACAGCCGGCTCCATCTGTTCCTCCAGTCGAACCTCTGCATTGCAAAGATGGAAAGATGTGCTCTTGGCAAGACCAGGTACACGGTAGCTGAAGCCATTCAGCGATACATCTGTGATTGCATCAGTAGTTTAGAGGACAAGACTTCCTGCGACTCAGACTGTGAAAGGTAAGACACTTGGTTTGAATAATAACTGAAGTGTCCTTTAGATACCAAACTGATTCTTACATGTTTTCTCTCTCGGCAGCTCTGCATCATCAGGCCTGGGGCATAGTTTTGATGCTACTCGAGAGAGCCAGGTTTCCTTCCTGCATTCCCCGGAAACTGAATTGTAACCAAGCTCTTTGATCTCCTGAGCATTTACACACCTTTCCTCTGGACACAAGCATGGATCTCTGTATCAGTCTTCGTGTGAACGTCTCCAGATGTCTTCCTGCTGTTAACTTCCAAAAACAATTGTTGTTTTCAACACATTTTTACTGCAGTCATTCAAGTACTCCGTACTTAAAGATTGTGGATCATCTTTTTTTAAGTGTATAAATGTATATTAAGTCTATTTGTAAATTCTTAAGTATGTGCATTTTATAGCTGCACTGCGGTTATGAAAGTGTTTTTTGAATTGTAGACTTTTTAATAATTATTGACAATCTTTTGTTAAAGGATAAATAAATTCTTATTTTTAAGGAAAAAGCCTTTTAATTAGAACTTTTTAGCGGTTACCTCGATTTATTTATTTTTGACTCTTAATTGTTCAAATTAAGCTCTAATAAAGGGTCAAGTCTACACAGTCTCTAGAACTTGTGTTCATGCTGAAGTTGACTGACATCAATGCTGTCGAAAGGTGAACCAGTATGTACTGTAAAGAATGTCTTACCAAAAAGTGAAAGTGAATGTTTTGCCTCTGTGTCCACGTGCTTGTCTGTTGCTGAACTGCATCTGTTATCGGGGTTGTGGGAGTAAATTTAAACACTTTAACATGTGGTAAACATGAATATGGTAAAAATGTTCTAAAACACACAAAGGGGCAGAGCAAATGTTTTTAATTAGCATCTGAAACATGAATTTACACACGTAAAAGTTCACTTTTTTTTCCTCCCCATATTCACACAGGAAATCTGTAAAGTATGACTTTACAATCCTCTTTTTTTCTATAAGGAATAATAGATGGCCCATTCTTATGAAACTTGCAGAAGTAATCATTACAAGTACATCTACAACCACTTTTTTTTCCCCTAGTCAGCCTGATTTAAGATGGATGCCACAGCTAACTGACCTTAAACACAAAAATGAACAATACAGGAAATCTTACAATCACTGACCTAAAAGCTTAGTGTGGTAGTAGCTAAGATTAATAACCAACATGCTTTCTGAAGGCGAACTGGTTTAGGATAATTAAAATCTTTCTTTAGATTATTCAACTTCAATAAAATTAATTTCTCATGAACGACTGGATGCAATTTAATGAAAAATTTCAGGAAATCATTAACCAATTCAAGATGGCCACCACAGCCAATTGACCTTAGCAAGCACAATATATCCTGATGCATGCTCAATAAACACAAACTCAATATAACTATATTTTACCAATATGCTATAAAATTAATAAATGTGGCATGTGTAACGTGGCATGGAGGCTGCACAGCTGCAGAAAAGGAAAGCTCTGCAGAGATGGTCAAGGATGCACAGAAGACTGTTGGAGTCAGCCTCCCTGCCATCACAGACATCTACACCGCCAGATGCAGGAAGAGAACCACCTGCATCATGAAGGACCCCACTCACCCAGCACACACTTTTTGACCTGCTCCCCTCAGGAATGAAGTTAAGGAGCATTAAGTGTAGAACCACTAGACTGAGGAACAGCTTCTACCCTGAGGCTGTTAGACTCATGAATATCTAACCAGGATAGTCACTGTGAGCAGCACGGTGGCACAACTGGTAGAGCTGCTGCCTCTCAGCGGGCAGGTCCCTGGTTCAAATCCCGGTCCGGGGGCCTTTCTGGGTGGAGTTTGCATGTTCTCTTCGTGCATGCGTGGGTTTCCTCCGGGTACTCCAGTTTCCTCCCACAGACCAAAAACATGCATGTTAGGCTGATTGGTAACTTTAAATTGTCCCTAGGTGTGAGTGCGAGTGAATGGTTGTTTGTCTCATTTGTCTCTATGTGTCCCTGTGATGGACTTGCGACCCGTTCATGGTGTACCCCGCCCCTCGCACAGTGATTGCTGGACATGGGCACCGGCGACCCCCGTGACCCAAAATGGAACAAGCGGGTAAAGAAAATGGATGGATGGACTTATCCATGCTGCTGATCTCATTTTGCTGATTACCTCATGCTGCTGTATTCGTTCATACCTATCTGCTCACCACATGTTCTGGCTGCTGCCGTTACTCTGTATTGTGCTACATTATTAGTGTTTAGCGTATATCTTGGATCGTTACGGTTTATTTTTACACTTTATATTTTTGCTATTTTTGGGTGTAACTGGGACCTTGTGTACAGAAGTTTGTTCCATCTCATGTACATGCGAATGACAACAAAATTGACTTGAACTTGTAGCGGAGTCATTCACAATGTGTTTCCAACGTGACATTTATAGTATAACGTGAGATTTGTGCATAGTTATTTTCAAGGTTGTCCAAAATAATCACAACTCTCTTATTTCTTAAGATTTCAGCCTAAAACTCAAGCCAGAAGGGTGACGGGCTTCCACTGGGGCTGAGATGGAGTAGAAGAAGGGCAGTCGATCTGCATGGGACCAGAAAGATGTGGCTTGACTCCCAGCCATCCCCACATGTCGTGGTGCCTCTGATCAAGACACCTAATCCCTAATTTGCTCCCCAGGCACTCGGTAGCTGCCCACTGCTCCACCTGGGTGTATCCCAGGTGTGATGGGTTAAATGCAGAAAACCAATTTCGTCATTTTATGGGAACCTACAACGATGACATATAGCACCTATACTTCTACTACTCTGAGCAATGCAGAACATTCAGTGACTCAAAGATATGACTTTCAAAGTCATGTAGACAGCCCCCTGCCCTACTCCTCCAAATAAACAATAATATGAACAGGATTAATCAGCTACTATTATCCTGCTGTTGCACTAAAAGAGTATGAAATATGCCAATCATGTTTGTTCCTCATAATTACTAGTATAAAATGGGCTGGTCGTGTTTCAGCCCTGCACATCGGCTCTCCCAGGTGAGATGGTCTAAAGACACAGATAGCACATTAGTTGAACTATCAGACAGCTTTTGGGGAATCACCTGAAAAGAAGGCGACTTCTAACTGTCACAAGAATGTGCGGTTTGCTTTGCAGAAGTGCTGGACACTCTTGTAAATTGAAAGCTGGTGAAAGAGGCGAATGCTCATTAAAGGAGACAGCAGCTGTTCTCTGCCCCGCCAACCGCTGAACCGATGTACGGCCTTGCCCAGCATCAAACCTGGCCTGTCCTGCGTCTCTGCTCCTCTTTCCTTCCCCTGGATCGTGCTGTCTCCCTGTGCGCACAAGCCATAATGAAGCTGTCAGCGACTTCACAGCAAACACGGACGTACACACAGTGGCACATCTGAAAACACTGACAGTTGTGAAAGCACACACTCACACATGCGGGTGAAAGCTGTGCATGGATGAACATTTTTTCTTCTCATCCTCTGTCATTTTCTTAGTCCCACTGGTTTGTGTTCGGAGCTCTCAATCTGTTTGCCGTTAAGGTTGACCTTATCAGCGTACCCTGTGACAGGCATACAGTGTGACACACACCGCTTGGTTCAGAGCGGGTCAATTTTCTGACAAAAAATGAAAGTGTTCTTTGCATCTGGTGTTTGTGCCTGTGTGTGCACACAACACGCATCTGCTTTTTGAAGGTGCAAGCAGGAGAAACACATCCAGCATTTGGATATTGAGTATTCACGGTACATGTCTATTTCGGCTTAGTAATTTATAACTCAATTTCCAGTGTGCATTGATGCGCTTCATACCTTCAAAACACCAAACAAAGCCCAAACCCAATTGTATTTGAAAGCAATTAGGGTGTCCACTGAGTTGTGAACGGTCCACATTGCGATGGCTCTGGGCCTGTGTGATATTTTTAATTGTTAATTTTCTATCACATTAGTCAACTTCACTGTTTTTGAACAGGTGACCAAGTGCCTATAGGCAGTGCATAAAGTGCCACAGAACATATTCTCAGCTTTTTAATCCACCAAAGTGGACGCTGCTTTTACATTCAGGGTGTGAAAGGTGGTATGTGATGAGTTAAATGACAAGAAAGTATATCAAATCTATGGTTGTTTTATGGTCAGAATCTTTCTAATGCTTTTCAGTATACGCGCTGACTGTCAATATTGGTTTAAGTTTATGAGTCTGAATTATTAGCTCATTTAGACTTTCACCTCGTGGGGAATGGATTCACCTCCTTGACCGTACAAAAGCCAACAATGGTAAAATCCATATGAGCAATTAGCCTGCGTCACTCCCGCCCTGCCCCTTCACTTATTTCCCTGCCCATTTGCTACTTCTCCCACTTTTCCCTCCATTTCCCTCTTCTTCTCATAGCCCTCATTATCTCACTATAGGTTGCTAAGTTAATTACCTGTTCTCTTTTGTACTTGGATGTATTTAACTGCTGATGCTGCAGCACCCGTCTCACCATGCCTCCGTTGTCTAACTGTTGAAGATGTAGGCCTGGTTCTTGACCTTGCAGCCTCATGACGTGGTTTTATGTCTCTCTCTGTGTGTGTGTGTGTGTGTGTGTGTGTGTGTGCATTTGTCTGTGTGTCAAAAGGTGACAAGTTGCATCGTGTTTTTGGATTATTTTCTCTTAAGTGCTATTGTGCGGGGCATCATTAAACATCAATGTGTCCCCCTCCCCAGTCCTGCCACCGCCAGCCTAAAACATACACATACCCACATTTTGCATGCACTCACTGGCCATTTAGCAGCTAAAATATGACCCGTGCGCAGATAAATGTCACCGAGCCATCCATCTGAGAGTGTTAAAAGTCAGCTAATGGAGATGACATATTAGCGGCCCAAATGACTGCCATAAAAGCTCCCCACCGTGCCTCCCAGCTCCGCCTGGGCGCTGTGACTGCAGCAGGAAGCAGAGCTGGCTGTCAGAGTGTCTTCACAGAAATGACAAGAAGTATGGAGGATGAGCTCAGATCTGGATAGACTTCTGATTCAAATAAATCCTGCAAGCTGCATCTTTGACACCGACTGTATAGATGTGACATATTTACTAAGTGTGACCTCCTTATGTTGCATTACACACACTGTATATAAAACTCTTGATGTAATACTAACGACCTCTCACCTTTGACCTTTCATGCAGTAATTATGAGCCGGGTCAGCTTTATTGTTGCAGTTTGTGTCAGTAGCAAAACTGCCTTTACAATCAATATCCTACTTGAAGACCCTCCACAGGTACGCCACCCCCCCCCCCCTCCATCCCTATTTCTTTATTAATTACCCCTCTC